AGAACCATTGTGGTGTTTGTTTTCTGTTCTGTGAATAGTTTGCTAAGATGATGTTTCCAGGCTGCATCCATCGTCCTACCAAAGAACCCAAACTCACTCCTTTTTTTGGATGCCTGCATAGTTCCATGGTGTATATGTGCCACCTTTTCTAATCCAATCGTCCACTGAATGGACATTTGGTTGATTACAATTCTTTGCTATGTGAAATAGTCCGCAATAAACTACGTGTGCCAATGTGGTCTTTATTAGCAGTATATAATTTATAATCTCTTTGGGTAATACCAGTCAAGTAATGTTGTACTGCTTGGTCCATAATGTACATCTCCCCTTCTAGATCCTTGAGGAAGCCCATACTGTTTTCCAGAGCCAAATCAGGAAATTGACTCCATTCCAACAATTGCTTCAAGAATAAATACCTAGGAATCCAAACTACAAGCGGGGATGTACGGACCTCTTCAAGGAGACTACAACACTGCTCAGTGAATAAAACGAGGACACACAATATGGAAAACATACCCATGCTCATGGATGCGAAGACCAATACTCGTGAAAAGGCCATACTGCCCCAATGTAAAGTTTATAGATTCAATCCCCATCCATCCCAAGCCTACCAATGACTTTGTCCCTTCACAGAATTGGAAAAAACTGCCTTTAAAGTCATACTCATATGGACCAAAAAAAGCCCGCATCTCCAGACAATCCTAAGTCAAAAGAACAAAAGCTGGAGCATCAACGCTACCCTGACTTCAAACTAAATACTACCCCAGCTACAGTAACCAAAACACGCATGTCACTGGTACCAAACCAAGATAATGACCATGGAAACGAACAGAGTTCCTCAAAATAATACCCACACATCTACAGCCATTTGATCCTCTTGACAAACCTGAAGAGAAACAAAAATGGGGAAAGGATCCCTATTTAACATAAATGGTGCTGGGAAAATTGTGCTAGCATAAGTAGAAAAGCTGATAACTGATCCTTTTCCTACTACGCTCTATACGAAATTAATTCAATGGATTAGAGGACTCTAAATGTTAGACCTAATACCATAAAACCTCTCCCTAGAGGAAACCTAGGTAGTACCATTCCAGGACATAGGCATGGGCAAAGACTTCATGTCTAAAACACCAAAAGCAACAGCAGCAAAAGCCAAAATTGACAAATGGGATCTAATTAAACTAAAATTTTGTTTTAAAAATAACTTGTCAAAAATATTCTCACCAACTCCACCTATTCCTCTCATTTCCCAATGACTGACCAATCTTCCTGTTAGCCTTCCTTCAGGGAGCTAATTCTCCACAGAGAAAATTCATTCTCTACATGGGGAAGCAGCCAATTGAAAGGATCACAAACTACTAGAGTTTGGTAGGGATAGCCGGCTACTCTTGAGGAGCTGCCCACCCATGCATGGCCCTCCGGAACACAAAATTTATGTGAAATGCCTGAGATAGTCCATGACCAAAATCTACCAATGGTACTCTGTGCGTCGGTGAGATTCTTTTATTTATTTACTTTATTTATTTATTTATTTGAAACAGAAGCTTGCTCTGTTGCCCAGGACTAGAGTGCAGTGGTGCTATCTTGGCTCACTACAACCTCTGCCTCTCAGGTTCAAGCAATTCTCCTGCCTCAACCTTCTGAGTAGCTGGGATAACAGGCACCAACCTACATGCCCGGCTAATTTTTTTTTTTTTTTTTGTATTTTTAGTAGAGACAGGGTTTCACCATATTGGCCAGGCTGGTCTTGAACTCCTGAACTCAATTGATCCACCCGCCTCGGCCTCCTAAAAGCACTGGGATTATAGGTGCGAGCCACTGCACCTGGCCGAGATTTTTAAAAACTGAGGATAATCGATAGAACACTGCCATTTTTCAATTTTCCATCTATTAATTTTTGTTAAACCTTTGAAGTCTATTATTGCTTGGCTATAACGGATACTAATATAAGCATTCATCTGATTTGCATATAATTATATTTGGCTATTTTATGTTCAACATATCAAATTTTGATCACTTAAAGAAAGCATGAATTCTAGACTAGAATATTTTCTCTTAGTCACTCTGTATTATTGACACAACCTTGGAATTTAACCACAAACACAAATTCCTTTGAAACATTTAAATTGGCTTCATCTACAGGCCTTCCTTTTTTCTTTTAGCCTTTCTATATTGTTTGATACTTTGTTCCAGGTGTATGTCATAATTTCTTGAATGGGTTGTATAAATGGCTTGTTCTCAGAGCAAGCCACATCTGATGTATACAGAATGCTTACATTCATGTCCTATAATCCCAGAGGCACTTTATTGCCACAATGGGGGTGGTGGGTGGGGCTGGGGATAGAGCAATTGTGCTTTTTTACTGTGGACTTCACTCTTTCATTACAGGTTTGTCTGTCTTCAGCTGTATTTTTAATGATAAAACTGTGCCCTGGGGGGGTCTCAGGTCACCTTATAAACATCAGCTAAATCTTCGGCTCACCCAAGAGAAATAGAACATATTTGCTTGCTGAGCCCTGGAAAGGTAGGCTTTTGGAAACTAGATTTTCTCCAGGAAGAAACCTTAAAAAGTCACACAGTCCAACTGTCTTTTGGACACCGTGGCCCAGGAGAGTCAAGTGACGTGACAAAGTCAGAAGCCAGGTCCCCTCATGTTCCGTGGCTCCCTCCATAGCTTCCTTTAAGTCTCTCCTCAGAGCTCAGTTCATCACTGAGGTATCCTAGGACCTGCCAAGCTAAAATATATCACAAACCACATTACTCTCTATTTCCTTCCCCTGAGTGTTTTTTAAATAATTATATTATTTTTCAATTTATTGTCCTTCTTGTCCTACTACAATGAATATAATTTTGTGGAGTTTTGTTTCCTCATAGTAGATGCTCAATAAATAATTGTTAAACGAATAAACAAAGCCACTGGTGGCAAGCACAGAATCCTGGGGCTTGCAATCCCTCCCACTGAATGTGAATAGTGGCTCCCGTGTTCTCATAGTCCTCTCCACCAATTCAAATAATATCAATGGAGAGCATTGGTTGATGTTTGCTATGCTCCATGCTCTGACTCAGCATTTTACTTTTATTAACTTGTTTAATCCTAACAATAAACGCTCTGAGGTGGGTAGGGCTATTTCACAGATGAGGCAAATGAGGCATGGAACGGTTAAACAACTTGCTCAGAGCCACACTGCCTGGAGTTGGTGCTGGCATTTGAGCCAAGGCAGCCTGGCTTCAGAGCCCACACACCCAGCTAGTGTGCTCTATGGGGTGGCCACCATGCCTATGAACTTTACTACACTTTCTTCACTCCTTCCCCAGGTAAATGTTGCGAGTGGTCAGGCAGTAGCTGCTTCCTTCACAGAGGTTAAAAATGGAAGCCCAGCTAGAGGAAAAAAAGGGTGAAGTCAGAGGCTTCACAGCTAAGAGACTCATAGATTCACAGAGAGGGGGTTGGGAGGGAAGTGGGAGAGCACTAGCTTCCTATGCAGATGAGTACACAGGTGAGTGAGGGAAAGAGAGAAGGGACAGAAAGAGGAGTGAGCATAGAGTCAAGGGTTGGATGGGAGACAGCCATGGATGGCTAAACACAGGTGAGCCATGTGACCACAGTAGGCAAGGTAGGAAAAACTACCAATTTAAAAATCACTGTAAAAAAACAAAACAAAAAGCCTAACTGAATAATAAAATATGAACGAACAGTAATCCGGGTAGTTCTACAGACGCATAGGTGCAGGTGAGTCACTTGTGTAAAGCATATTAATTACAGAGCAGGGGACGGTGCCTACTTGCGTGAAGAAGAAGACCGCTTGCTTCCCGCAGTCGACATATGGACCTCAGGAGCGGAAATGCTGCCTGTGCTGCTCGAGGAGCTAAAATCAGCTTCACTACCTGAAAAACAACAGGGGAGAGAGAAGCGTGAGGGAAAGGAAACCAGAGAACACGCTGGCCAGTTCCCTGCCTTCCAGGTCCCTGCTCCCTGCATTTGTACACTATTGGCAAGTGCCAAGATTCCAGAGTTTCCAGGCTCACAGAGTTTTCCTCAAAGCAGTCAAGAGAAGGCCCAGCACAAGGACATCATTTCATAAATACAGCTAAGATGCACAGTAAGGCTGGTTTCATATAGAGGCCGGTCTTCCTGCAGACACTGTCAACAGTGACCCAAGCGAGTCAAGAAATGCACTGTTCTCCCGTGTGTGAGGCTCTCACTCCACAACAACGGGCTCACCCTACTTCAAGCAAAAGAAAAAGAAAAAGAAAAAGTAAATACCGATCAGTCCAAGAGCAGTTTTTCCAAGAGAGTTTATCTTTGGGTTTCTGTAGTCAGCTAGTCATACTTCAATTTGGCACGTTAGGTTTGGAGACAGTTAACCAGTGAGAGGCAGTCAGGAAAGAGCAAAGCCTGGGTTCCCAGACTGCTTGCACTGGCACTATCTGAGAACTGACTTTCTCTGACTGCAGTTTTGGTTTTTCTTTAAGGAATAGATCCTTAACAGAAAAGCAGAAATTTAACAGTGATAGAACCTGTAAATTCCACTGAAACTTGGAATTTTAGCTTCAGAGTGGGATTACAGGTAGGGATGTTCATTAGTTTGCAAAGATCACATGATACTTTGAGTACAGACTACAGTTGGATGTGTAATTATAATAGAAACATGCTGTGCAGTAAAACAATTTATATAAATTAATCCTAACAAAAATATGTAGTTCTAAAAGAGTGATAATGGAAACATTCTCATACACTGCCTGGGGAAGTGAAGGGATGTGGAAGAGGCAAGCTAGAACAATGAGAAGAAGAAAAAGAATTTTTTAAAAACGTGAAGTACCATGTGCTTTTGAAAAATAAGTCTAGGTATACAGTTTAATCTGACCTTGTTGCTCAACTCCTACAACACAATTTGTGCCTCTTCTGATCTAGAACCCAGAGCCAGCTCACATTTCTGGGCTGAAGAAAATATAAATAGCCTAAATCCTTGATTTTCTAATAAGCAGTGAACAATAATTATCATAATAATGACTATTTATTGAATGTTTACTAGGTCTCAGGCCCTATTCGCGATGCTTTCTATGCTATATATTATTTATTCTTGACATCTTTGTAAAATAGACATTAATCTCACTGTTTTACTATTGAGAAAACTGAAGCTGATTTGCCTGAAGCTTGTAGGTGATAAATTCTGTCCAGGACCAAATCTTCATACTACTTCTCCCATACTATGCTTTATCCTCAGAAAGGCAGTAGGAAGAAGCAGCGGAACAGGAGAAGTTCTTAGAGAAACTATACATTACCATCTCCCTAACAGGCCAACACGAACCACAGGTACAAGCTGTGGCCAGACTCTGGCCTGCTGGGGAACAGATTTCGCTCTCTGATGGGCTTTATTAGTTTTGCTAGAGAGGAAGGTAGGTAATCACAAGGTAGAGAGAAAGAAAAACATCCTTTCCCTGGTTTCCAGGAGCTCTCAGGAACCCCAGCCTCTAGGAAGTCCAGGTCTCTAGGAAAGTGACCGAGAATGACCCATTAGCCAGATGACAGCAGTGACTCCTGGCTCCCAGCAGAATTCTGGGAAGATTAGCATGGCAGTTTATCAGAACTGAGACCAGCTATTCCTTCTGGATTGCACAGACTTTGTCTAATGATGTAATGAGCTCCTAGAAGCTTCCCAAACTTCATCAGTTGACTCTAAGGAATACACTGGTTAAACTGTAGTAGTTCAATCTCAAGGATTCATGATTGGTAATGGAGTCCAGCAACATGAGATTCCTGACAGCCTAACTCAGCCAGCTTTGTTTGCTAGTAAATTATCACGTTTGTTATCCAATGATAAAGGTAGGCAATTTTCAAAAATAGATCCTGTGGTTACAGCCATCGGGTTAAGATATTATTTTCTAATGTGCAGTTATTCCTCTGAAACACTCAGCTTTCATTCCTTTCACAAAAGTCCATCGATTATAATTGAACTGCTTGCCTAAAAGCAGAAATTCTAGAACAGGAACAGATAATTGTGGAAAATCCATTGTTACCCCATGGTGCTTCTGATCTGTGGTAATTACGTTCTGTGAACTAAAAGGACAACTTTGTTCTACATTTTATTGCTACTGGAACTCAATATATTGACTTTTATGTATTTGCAGGGCCTAAGGTCACTTTGTTTCAGCACTTTCCTCTCTTACTTTCTGTACATCTGAAAGAGATTAGAAGGCACAATCGGGTCCCTGCAGCTGTATTCAGGACTATTTGAATAGCACGATAGTGAAAAATGAATATACTACTTCACAACTATTTCAGTTTATGAATTTAAAAAACACAAACTGGTTAATGCAGTGTAAAAATCAGTGAACGCTTTTTAAAGGATACACAGGAAAGCTAAATGTAATACATTATCTGATATACTTCCTTCAATACTAAGCAAAATAACTAAGAGAAAAGCTGGAGACCTAATCACCGCACCCCCATTTATCTATTAGCTGGCAACAAAGATACAAGGAAGGAGAGGCATTCTTTATTCATTTCCTTTAAACAGTGTATGCAACTAATATATTGTTTTCAGTGCTCTTTTGGGTTATTAAAATCATGCACAGAGTACCTAACCTAAAAACATAGAACCTCGACTGGGCATGGTGGCTTACGCTTGCAATCTCAGCACTTTGGGAGGCCAAGGTGGGCGGATCACCTGAGGTCAGAAGATCGAAACCAGCCTGGCCAACATGGCGAAACCTCGTTTCTTTTTTTTTTTTTTTTTGAGACGGAGTCTCGCTCTGTCACCCAGGCTGGCAAAACCTCGTTTCTACTAAAAATACAAAAATTAGCTGGGTGGTGGTGAGCGCCTGTAATCTTAGCTACTTGGGAAGCTGAGGCAGGAGAATCACTTGAACCAGGGAGTCCGAGGTTACAGTGAGCCAAGATGATGCCACTGCACTCCAGCCTGGGTGACAGAGCAAGACTCCATCTCAAAAAACAAAACAAAACAAAAACAAACAAACAAACAAAAAGAAAAAACATAGGACCTCAGCTAGGCAGCCTGGATTCAAAGCCTGCCCCTAACCCGTATTAGGTGGAAAGTTTTAGCCAAGTTACTTCACTTCTCTGTGTCCCAGTTTCCTAATTGGTTAAACAAAGATGATACTCATAGCGCCTGCTTCATGGGTTTCTTGGAAACAATGAATGTCATCCTCATTAACAGTCTTTGTTCCTCATCAATATTGTTTTCGATCAGCTGCCAGGTTAGTGGAGTGTTATTCCAGGACTGAACAGACAGGATGAATTTGATGACCTTTAAGATAATGCTCTGATGCCAAACATTTAGTGACTAAGCATCCTGCTGCAGAAGGCATTTTTCCAACTCTAAAGAAGCTATGCCCAGTGACCTCCAGAAGTTCTGTCAGTTTTTTGTTTCATAGCACTGCTGAACTGTTTTGAGAGATATTCCTTTTATTTATAACGTTAGGATAATTAAGCGTTCTGTGCATGTATGCTAACGCCAGGGAATTAGAAAAGGAAGAAAAAAATGAAAACAAAAAGAATATGTGCCCAAACCGATAGCTAACTGACTTATTTTTAAAGCACTGCCTGTAATCTGGTCTCTTAGGACATTATTAATTTTTCCTGTTTTCAAGATATGGAGCAGTCCTCATACATGAGAACACCACAGTATAGAGCAATCCTGAGATCTACTAAGCGGTATTAAGCCATTCTAAAACACTGATTTAAGTAACCCCAAACCCTCTCTTATCCTTTATCACTGCAAAGCTATCAAATTAATTCAAGTTGGACCACCTCAAATAGAGGCAGTAAAAAAAATAAAATAAAATAAAATAAACCCACCTAGTTCCCACCCCTTCTCTCCCATCCTCCTTCTCCACCCATCCCCCCAAAATACACAGATTTTTAAATTTACAGATCTCCAGGGAGGAGAGAGGAACCATTTTCACTGAAGCCAAGCACAGCTATTAAGGAGCAGCAGAAGCAGTGGACACATGCAATTATAAAAGATACTATTAAAAGAAGCTGCTCTAAAGTACATTCAGTAGAACTGACCCTTAGCTGCTAAGGCTTGGGGGGCCCAGCCAAGGAATCCAAGAAATGCTTCACAGCCTAAACATGGTTTTTGTTTTAGTTTTTGCAAAATTACTTTCCTAAACCCTGTATAGGTATTTATCTCAGAAAGGGAATATTTAGTTAAATGATCAATACATTGATAAGATACATATACAGGTTTTTTAAAATTTGAGAATAAAAATATTCTTGAAAAATTGTAAATGTAATTTCCATTTATATCGTAGTTTCAGAAAATAGTTTTCTTCATTCTGATTGATGCTCAATTGATGGAACTGCCATATACTTAAAATCATACACACACATACACACACACAAACAGCTAAACACAAAAGAAGAGAAGTTCAAACTTATAAAACTGCTTATGGGAAAATAGCAAGGTCAAAGCCAAATAGATACACTGAAAAAATATTTACAACACATGATAAAAAGTTAATCTCCTTAATTTACCAAAAGGTCATAAAATTAGAAAAATAAAACCTAACAAAAAAATGGGCCAAGGACATAATAGGTAGATGAAAGAAAAAGAAAAAGCAATGACTGATACACATGAAAAGCCATATAATCTATCAACGTCACTAAAAATATAAATGAAAGTAAGGAGACTTTTTCCATCTATCTGATAGGCAAAAGAGTCTGATAATACCAACCCTGTTAAGGGTTTGTAAAAACAGAGTAAGAGTGTGAACTACGCTACATGTATAAAAAGAAAAACTGTACTGCTAGGAATTTATTCTGCACATAAGGACCCAAAAAGGCAACCTAGTTGTCCATCAATAGTGACTGGTTAAATCAGGTGGTATAGCAACAGCCTAAGAGAATACTCCGCCATTGT